AGTCAATCCTAAAGGAAATCAACCCTGACTGCTCATTGGAAGGATTGATAATGAAGCTCAAACTCAAATGGCCACCTAATGCGAAAAGAGGACTCTTTGGAAAAGACCTTGATGCCGGGAAAGATTGCAGGCAAAAGGAGAAGGGGACAGCAGAGGATGAGATGGTTAGATAGCATCACCGAAGCAATGAATATGAAATTGAGCAAACTCCGGGAGGCAGTGAGGAACAGGAAGGCCTGGCGCGATATGGTTCATTGGGTCACAAAGAGTTGGACACGACTTAATGGCTGAACAACAACAAAAAGTTAGTCTGGTGCTTTGTTTAGAAAAGTGCCCCCCCAAAAGTAAATGGGCTAGAAAAGATAGCCGGGGGGGGGGGTAATCTCACTAGTTTTTACCAAAATGGGGGCTATTTTGTGAAAATGCCGATATGTTCTCAAAACTCCAAATATGCCCATTACTCTAAGACAATTAACCTTTCCATGCTTCCTATCCTTTCATATATATGCTTGAAAACTACACGATGCAATTAAAATTACATGCCCATCAATATCAAAAGGGACAGATAGGATATGTTTACTGCTCAGAACCCAAAAAAAACACAAATCAGTTGTAGCTTTTAGAACAAAATGAGAGCCCTTGACAATTGCAACTGTTCCTATCTTTTTAGCTTTGCTTCTTTCTTAATACAGTTCCTAACATAGTCCCATTTCTTAATCATACTAATAAATAAACTTCCCTAGAGTTGCATTTTCTAAATTCTCTTAGACATCAGCTCCCATCAGCTTCAGCCAGTACTAGCAACTGATAAGGCCTGTCACATTCAGACAAAAACAGTGAGTGCTGACATCTCTACTTCTGCATTACAGTGTGCGCACATAATAAGTCTATATGGCTTTTCTGCATTTCCAAAACTCTACTAACTCTTTCTTAATCTTGGTGCCTTCCAGAACTGTTGGACTGCAATATTCACAATTCTCAGCAAGCATGTAACCTGGCCACAGTGGTTGAGGCTGAGGGGAATTGTAGTTAGTAAACAGGCTGGCTAAGAGTCATGCAAGCTATTGTAGTACAGCTTATCCAGAGATGCCAAATTTGCCAAGGCTGTTCTCTTGGGAAAGGGAGAAGGGATATGAATGGTGTTTAACATGAAAGGTGGCTATTATGAAGGAGCTGCAGATCTCTTACTTGCTCCCATGCATCTCCCCGGCACCCCCTGACAAACAACCCCCCTGGAAAATAGTCTCTACAAGAGTCTTACAACCCTATTGTAAGACTCGCAATAAATCAAGAACAAAGGGAATTTTCTGCTTCCTAAGTATTAGGTTACATTGTCAATAAGTGATTGCCTTTGGCTATACTGGCAAGGAATTCTGAGAGATGTATTTCCAACACATCTCAACATCACTAGGTTGGAGAAGTTTGATATATGGAGCCTACAGCATAGACAGTTGCCACACGTTCTCACCTGTCGAGAAGATTTCATCAAAGATGCGACTCGACCTGCTTTCTCAGAAGTGTCTTTTCTCTTCTCCAGCAGCAGCCGAGTATTAGGTATGAAACTCCACGAGCGACCCAATGCTGGTTTAAAACCGCCACTAGTATCTCTGGTCACATGATTTGTCAACTAAAAGATAGCAGATGGTTTCATCATTTCAGTACTCTTTGTTTTTGGTTGGCTGGTCAAGCATTCACCTGCCACCAGATGGGCTACAACTGCATGGGACATTTTATCTAAAGAACCTAAGAGAATAGGCAGAATGTGCTAAATGCCCAAAATAAGATTTCATCCCTTGATAGAGCGATAGGACAACAACTTTCAAATGATCTTCTCAAGGATTATGCCATATTTTATACGCTTTCACAATTTTGATGGAGGAGCATTTCAATCGAGCTGCTCACAGCCAGCAGAGCAAGCTGCACAAGGACTGCATGCAGCACCATGTCCAGTGGCACAAGGAAGAGGCTTATCCACCAAGATCACGTAAACAGCAAAAGAACCAGGGTGAGCCACTCGTGCAACTGGGGCAGCTCCCTCCATCAACCAGCCCAATGAGATGCTGGGAAGAAGGCCACCTCCTTCTTTGCCACGTTGAGTCTCACAACCAGGATGACCCAGCAAGATCTGCTATGGCCAAGCAAGAAGGAGGGGCAGTAAATACAGGTACATTGTACAGACAACCTAACTCTTAAAACACATATTTTACAGATGCACAAATGCCATGTTATGCAAGTAACAAAACAGAGAATCAAAACTGCAGATACACAAAATCTGAGGTCTGATATCTAATTATCAATCATGGATATGAGACCATCAGTGAAAGATCACCTGTAATTTCCGAAAGAGCAATGAGCTGGAGTGATTCTTCATTTTTATATTCTAAAAGGCTCATGGGGCCCATCTGGGGAAAAAAATCTTAGAAATAAAGATAATGCTGGAGGTTGAAGCTTTGCTTTACCGAATCCAGGCTACCCGTTTTTTTAAATTAAACTACTTTTAGAGTAAAAAGTGGGCGGAGGGTGGCAGCACAATATCTGAACTAGCTCACACTAGAAGAGCAGAACTGAAGCATCCCTGTGCCCATAAAGCCAAAAGCAAGCATAAGGAAAAGCCTGGTCCCCGTACTTACCAAGATGGCGATCCCAAACTCTTTGGCAAGTGTTTTCATCTCCCTAGCCAAATGCATCATGAGGGCCATGCCTATGAAGAGAGAAAGGGAGATCACTGCGCTTGAAGCTATACAATTAACTGTATTTATTGTATTTCCCCTAGACACTGAGGGTTGCCCCAAAGTGTACACTCATCCTGCAGAAGGGAAACAGGTAAAACTTTCTGGATCACATCCATACAGGAGGAGAAGCCTTCCAAAATTGTATTAGCTACAACATTTAGCTCTCTGATTTTAAAAGGGCCCTGCCCATTTGTTACTTCAGATTTTTTAAAAATCATTTCTTTAGCTGTAAGTATTTACAAGTATCCAACTGGCAGAAGTGTGATCCTAAGGATGCTTATTTGGAAGACAGTTGTAACGCAGCACATTTTTGAGACACCAAATAGGGAAATGATGCCCTAGATTGGGATGGGCATCTTATGGCCTTAGGTGGCTTCTGTCAAACAAAGGACATTGTTTGACAGAGGGACTGTCTGTCAATAATTGCTTCAGTGAGTTCTTGTAAGCTCCTGCTTGAGTCAACAATGGAAGTATTTTGCCACCTTGATTTCTGTCAGCCTCTTTTTCAATTACCTTTGATTTTTCACAGCATCAGTCTCCTCCAATGACTCTGGCTTTTGCATTAGATATCCAAAATATCTAAGCTTTAGCATCATTATTAGTGCTTCTAGTGAATAATCTGGCTTTACATCATCTAAATTTGAACAATTAGTTCTTCTTACATTCCAAGGTATTCTCAACTGTTTTGTCCGGCATCACAATTCAAAGGCATCTTCGTACCATTTTTCTTTGTACCATCTTGTTGACAGTCTAATTCTCAAAGCTATATGTTACAATTACAAAAACCATATATAAGCTCAAAAAGGTTTCTCACCATGCTGAAGATGAACGATATCATCTATGACAAGTTCCCACTAATCCACAGTGGCCAAGGAGCAAGATAACTAAAGCCTTCTGGGTTTTAGACTTGTACAACTTGCTAGACTAAACTAAACTAGAGTTAGGTCATTTGTGGTTCATCATGTAGTGGGAACCTGACCATTGACTTAGCACATTGTGTGAATCAAGTTATCACTTTACATTATAACTTGTTTAGTTCTTTGGACACAGCCTAATTAGCAAACATAGCAATTGTATTAATTCAGGTTTAGGATTAAGTCGGTTATGTAAACCTTATCCCTTGAGAATCAAATACATAACTAACTATGCTGATTACTAGCATGAATGAAAGGTCCAATGATATTTTGTGACAGCTTTCACCAATCTGGTGCAAAGGAGCTGGAACCACAGAGGCTGAAAGATGTGGAAGCTGTCACACCACACCCTAGAAACTAGAATAAAGATTAAGCTATGATATGTTTATTCACAATTATTTGTATGCCACAAGCAACCTTAGGTGGCTATGGTGTGGCCTTTTCTGATCCTTGTGTACTGTACTTTTATGCTTCTCTCTCCATTGTCTTCCATGTTTCAAAATATTATATTGTAAACTCTTTAAACCATGGACCTGTCTAGGATATGACTCTGCAAAACAATATGTCCATTAATGAAGCATATTAAGAAACGTTCCCTGAGATGATAGATGTCCACTACTGACCATCAGGCTGCCGAAGTCCCAAGAAAGGGCAAATCACAGCAGAAACGGAATCCACAATAAGAAGCTTCACTGGTCCAGAGGTACTGAATATCTAAAAAAATAAATAAAAGCAAAAAGCAAATGACACAAATCAGAAAGTTACAAAAAACCAAAAGGTACTTTTCTTTGGAATATGAGAATAGATTGGGAACATGAAGCATTCAAAAATTCAATGTTGCATATAGTTTAAAACCATGCGTTCACACATCCTATGTTATCTATGCCTAAATTCCACACCAGGAAATACTAGTCTCAGAACAAAGGCATCTGAATAGCCTGGAAGTTTGTCTATTTTAATTATATTGAGTAGTTCTGTAACCATAGCCCTCTTCAGGAATTCAGAAGAACAGAAACAAAGCTAGGTGGAATGGTGAGACCGTGGTGGTTGATCACCAGTAATGGGTTAGGAAAGGAAAGGAGAAAGTTGGGGTTGGTTGGTAGGATGGAGAAGGGACAGTGACTAGGCAGTAACTATTAGATTATTATTTGAGGTCCTATATGTTCAAGACTGTTCTCCTGCCTGCACAGCTGTCCTATTAAAACCAGTTTGGACACTTGACTGCAAGGTTTATTAAAGGCTAGAACCTTCAGTCCAGCCATCAGTTTTCTCCAATTATATCAAACGTGATAGCAAACTTGAAGAAGCAAAAGGGTTTCCTGTTTTCTCTGGAGGAAGGGATTTCCTCCCTCCTCCTATGCTAAGATAGTAGCAATCCACCCCCCAAAAGTAAAAGACCTGCTACACCAGGAGAGCATCCTTGGGTTGGCACCTGGCTGGGAAAAGGTTAAGAGTGATAGGAAGCCAAAGAAGGGATAAGAAATGACCCCAGATTAAAGGACTCAACCTAGTACGTGGTAGCACCAGTCAAATTATAAACACTGGAGGACAACACAGCGTAAACTGAGCAATAAACACCTCTGGTTTTTATTTATGTACATTTTCTCCTTTGATTTACATGGTATTAAGGAAGAAATATGAGATTTCTCCCTAAGAACAAGGAGCAACCAAGCATATATGGAGTTTTAGTTCTAGTTGCTAGGAATGAGAAAGGCAGCCATGAATGTGTTAGATTCCAGTCCATGCACCTGAGAAATGGCAAGACCTCCCAACCCCAAGTAGGAAGATTTTAGAAGCAGCATGAATATTGGCTGAATGCAGGACACTCTGCAGGATTTATTTCACTGCCTGATGAAGCAGTACAGGGCATCACTGGAAGGCTCTCATCAAGATGAAAAAGATGGAGTCAGAGATTAAGTGGCTAGAGATGGCAACAGACACCAAGAGAAAAGAACATGCATATCTGCTAGATCTGAAAAAGTTAAAGCAGACCAATGACTCCAGTCTTCCCTGTTGCTTCACTAGTGAAAAGCAATTTCCTGAACAGGAAGGAAGAATAGGGGTGTGAGTCCCAGTAAAAGGGATTAAGCCAAACAGGGACCGTGCAATGCCGGCCTTGCTCTCTGTGCATTATCTCCATCCCCTTCCTTCAGCCTCAAATCTCGTCTGTCCAGGCAGATCTGAAGGCCAGCTCACCTGCTGGTGAAACTCGTTGTGCAGTCACAAAGTGTGATAAAATAATACCATGATCACAGAGACCATTCCACTCCCCTTCAGATTTCCCTGATCAAACAATAAGGCAATGGGCCAGTCATGCTTGCAAATATTGGGGGATAATGGCCAGCACGCACAATCTACCTCTCTAAACAGAGAACACAGCTTGTGGTACCCTCCAAAAGTTTCATGTTTAATGTAACAAATGGCTGAAATATTTCAATATGTAGAAGTATGCATATTAACTGTATTTCATTTATTTAGGGTAATGTTAAATCAAATTAAAATTGAAAAGCAGTTAATCTAAAACTCGTTTTGGCCCTACTCATTTTTTGGTGTGCAGTCCCCCAACATACCACTCAAAAACCAGCCTGGCCCTTGGCCTAAAAAATGTTACCCACCCTGCTCTCCTCCATCCTTCTAGCATTCATGTATTCTGAATCCATAAACAGAGTGTACAATTTTGCCTAAACCAGCCTACCTCAACCTGGCATTCTGCAAATGTGTTGAGACTCCAACTCTCAGCATTCCCCAGCCACCATGGCCACAAACTGACTGAGAATCTTTAGAGCTGTAGTCCCAACCACGTTTATTCCAGGTAGCAGAAAGTATGATTCTATTAGAGTTTGCACTCTAATTAAAGAATGCAAATGTTCATCAATGAACTGAAAATGTGTCCATAATGGCTTTCAGCCTTTGCAAAAGTGGCATTTGCCAGCAGCTTTGGAAGGAAGCAGACACAGCATGGAGCCAGTCTGAATTCATTGGAGGTGGTTCTGAAGAGCCAAAATAACTGAACTGAAAACTGACTAAGGGAGGATGCCTGGAAGCTGCAAATATCCACATTGTTATTCCCAGATGCTGGTTTTGCTTTAGTTCTACTTGCATGTTTACAATAATCACAACCTAATTCCACCTCTCCCCCAAGACAATGTTCTCTTCTTCAAGGAAACCAGAGTAGAAATATCCCTGGAGAAATTCATAAAATCAGGAAGCTAGGAAGCATTTACAGCATCTGCACTGATTTTGTATTTTAAGGATTTTGTTATTTTGTGTGTGTGTGCATGTGTTTTAAAGAAGTGCTTGAAAGCTTTTTACTGGCAGAAAGCCAGAAAGAGTGGAACATAAGAGAAAGGAAGCTCCTTGCTTCCAATGGCAGAACTCAGTCCTAGAAAATGTAAGAAGCACAATTTGAGATCTCAGGCTCAGTTGCAGCGTAACCCTCCCACCACCTCAATGTGACAGAATTTTATTAAAAATATGGGGAACATTGTTAAAGGTATTTAATTTGATAAATTCTAATTTAAAATCGGTTCTTGTCTTAGCTGTACCCCTTGTTCCTCTCCTGCCCCAGCAAACTTTTAGAGTGCAGCTCCCTGCCTGCCACATAAAGACCAAATTCAGCTCTTATCTGAAAAAAATATGCTTATTATTTATGTTAATAACAAAGAAGGGTGTGATTCTTTGTTTATTAGATTTATATCCAACATTTTGTTCAGGAGCTCAACGCAATCTACAGATCACTCCTTCCTCTTACTTCCCCCCTCAACAACTCTGTGAGGTGGGCTGGGCTGCAAAACAGTGATTGGCCCAAAGCCACCCAGGTAGCTTATGTGGCTGGGAGCAGATTTGAACCTGGGTCTCTCTGAGGCCAGTCCAATGCCTTAACATGACAGGACCGCAAAACTTTAGTCCTAAAGCTTCTGGAATTACAGAGGCCAACACTGCAGGGCAAGCAATACCATGACCTCAACTGGCTAGAAAAATCAACAAACGTCAGTCAGTAGACATGATTCAAGAAGCACCCACCTGCTGGGCCATATAGCTGCGGACTTCCTGCAGCACATCAAGCATTTTGTAGGCGTCAAATGCATGAAAAACCTGGATCCTCCGCAATGCCTCAGCCTACAAGGTAATGAGGTAAGGAACAGGGTAAGATAATACATCATGGATGCCCTTGTTAAGTCTGCATGCTCACTGGATGAGGGTAAAAAAATCAAGATGGTAGCCACAAGCATGAGATCAAAGCTTCACCCCACCATCTTGACTTTTTTGACTGAAGATGCCCTAATGCTCAACATTCTGCAATAGAAGAACCATCTTAATTCTAAGCATTTATTTAACATTGCTTTTGATAACTCAAAATCAAGTACTGATTATCAGTAAATGTTTAGGTTAGACTTTCCCACCTAGAACCGTTCGAATTTGTTGGGACTAAAAGCCAAGAATCCCCAACCAGCATGGCCTTGGTGGGGAGAGGACTTTGAAGTCTATTGGGTACTGATTAGACCAGTGTTTCTCAACCTTGGCAACTTTAAGGTATGTGGACTTCAACTCCCAGAATTCCCCACGCCAGCATCAGTCAGTAGACAT